CAGAGAAAGAGGAGGGGGGATAAAGAAGAAAGAAAAGAAATGAAGGAAAAGGATGAGGGGGGAGAAGAGAGAAGGATAAAAGAAGGAGGTGGATTAAAACGAGAGTTTGAATGAAAAAAGGGATAAGGAAGAGGAGGAAAGGAAGAAGAAAAGAAAGGAAAGAAGAAGAAAGGAAGGGAGAGGAGGGTAAGATGATGACGAGGACCAGAAAAAAGGAGAAAAGAAAGGAATATAAAAAGGATAGGGAAGCTTGATAACGAAATAAAAGAGATGGAGCGATGAATAAGAAGAGAAAGAAGATGAAAGAATAAGTAGGATAAAGGGGGGGGGGGTGAATGAAAGAGGAGCAGGGAGAACAAGAGAAAGAAGAAGAAGAAGAAAGAACTAAAAGTGAATGGAAGAAGGACCAGGACGAAGAGGGGAAACAAACAAAAGAAAGAAGGAATATGGAGAAGAGAAGATAAAAATGGATAAATAAATAAAATGGTGAGTTTTTGGAAAAGATGACTGATGGAGAAGGAGAATGCTAGTGATGTCAATGGTGATGAACCTTATGCCGTTGAGATGATGGATATGAGGACGATGATGAGGATGATAACGTGGAATACGAGAGGGGAAGGAGGAAGAGAGAAGGCCAGAAAGAAAAAAGACAAAGAAAAGGGAATGAGAAGTGAAAAGAAGAAGAGAAAATAACTTACGAATCTCAAATCGCCTTTCTTTACTCGACCTCGGAGCGATATGGCCATCCGTTCTGCCTCTGCATCTGCAACATGGCTATGCACACTACGCTAATTGCAACCTGGCACACACACGCACGCACAAATACGACCACCTCTGGCTTATGGTGAAGCAGTCGTGTCTTTCGAGTGTCTCTGCACAGTCTCCAGAGCAGGACACTCAGCTCTGCCCAAAGTCAGCCTTGGAAGGTGAATACGTAAGTCCGATTTCCTGGCGTAGAAACGAGCAGAAATGGCATTATCAACGTCTGCTGTGAGGGTCAATTGAGCAGTGTCAGGTATTGTTTTTTTTTATTATCGTTATTTTATTTTGTCTTTGTTTTTTTTCGTATTTTGGCACAATTGGAAGATCGTCGATTCGTGTCGGTTATGAATTTAAAAATGATCACAATATGATTGTTTTGTGTCGTTTTCATGTAATTTGAATGATTTATTAGTATCATTTTTTTCATTTCTGTCAAATATATATATACATATATTTGCGTATATCTACATAGATCAATTGCGCCTTAAAAATATAGCACTCCTTTCATTGAAAACACGTGGCTCTTTTTTCTTTTCCGTCAAAGTCAAAGCCATCATTGTTTTTTTTCGTTTTATTTATAGAACTCGAGGTTCTGCACTACACACTGTTACCTCAAGTTATACTTGTCTATTGAGCGGTAATTCAAGGTAAAAACAACACCTCTTCGGACACAAAATTACTCCAACTTTCCTAGGTGAAGCTCTACGATACGCAGATAAACCACACGCACACGCACACACACCCGCGCAGTCACCCCACACGCGCGCGCGCACACAGACGCACCTAAACACGAAATGCGCGAAATAGTCTACGCCGTCCTCTTCCCCGCCTTCCCGTCGCCGGCGCTGAGTCGCGGCAGCCTCCCCTCGCGTCTACATGTCCAGGTCTTCCCCTCGCAACGTCCGCCCGACCTGACTGAACAGCATGTCGACCGGGTCTGTGGAGTCGTAGAGGAAGGGCGACTCGCAGAGGATCACGACCGTCCCCACCACAGACGTGAGGCCGAAGACCCACAGCAGCAGTCTGTCCAGGACCATGGCGACGAAGCAGTCGTCGTCTCCTGTGTGGACTTAAGGCAGATTTCCAGTCCAGACCTGATATTTCGGAAGGAAATCCCTGTTCGGTATTCCTGTGGGAGGAAGCAGATTTCGGAATCTATTGTACAATCTGGCAGAACAAAAGGATTTTCGTCAAGAAAAAATGTGGAGGCATCTGAAGGCAGATTTTGTTTTAAATCTGAAGGCAAAAAAAGAGAGAGGAAATAAACACGAAAGATAATTGTTCTGGGAATCTGAAGGCATATTTCGTTTAAAAGAAAAAAAAAAAGGGGGCAATTTCTGTTAGAGAAATAAACAGGAAAAAAATCTGTGGGATGGGAAGCAGATAGAGAGGAGATATAAAAGGAAAAGAAAAATAATTGTTCTGTGGGAATCTAAAGGCAGATTGCGTAAGAGAGGAATAAAAAAAAAAAAAAAAATGTGGAATCTGAAGGCAGATTTCTTAGGAAATAAAAAGGAAAAATCTGGGCAGATTTCAAAATTAAAGGCAGATGGTAGAGATAAAAAAAAAAAAGTGGGAATCTGAAGGCAGATTTTCTTAGGAAATAAAAAGGAAAAAATCTGTGGAGATGTGGAGGCAGATTTCGTTAGAGAGGAGATATACAGGGAAAGGAAAAATTATTGTTCTGTGGGAATCTGAAGGCAGATTTCGTTAGAGAGGAGATTAAAAAAAAAAAAAA